CTTATTTCATGAGGAAGCATATGCTGAATCCCAGCTCCCATACAGATTAAAGTGTGCCTCATCCTTGGTCCAAGAGCATGCAGGAGATTTCACAACGTATTATGGATTTTTCTTACTCTCTCACTACTGAATTTTTAGCAGAAAATATAGCTACATGGATTACTGATGAATCCTGAGAAGTACAAACTAAAACAATACGAAACACTCAATTATCTGCATTCCCTGGCAGTGTGCACAGAAACTGAGGGAAGGGACATAAATCTAGGAGCAAAATAATGAGTTTTGTGCCATAGCAGAAACTGCTGCTAGTCAACCCACAGCAGCCTGGATTTCTCTGGTAGATTCCTGTATATCAATTCAAGGTTTATAAAAATCCCAGTATTTCAAATAGTAATCATAGCTCAGGGACATTTTCAACTTGTGTACTTTGTATGGCTTCTAAGCTGCAGAAAATGACTTCAGTCTACAAAAATATCAACAGCAATTTCCTGTCTGCCCTGCAAAGGGCCCTATTTTACATCAACTTTTACAGCAAGACCCAGCAAAAATTGAAACCTTGAATGGAAGCACAATGCACAGTATCTGCTTCAGTCAAGCTAACTGACTGTTAATTGGAGATACCTTAACACTATTTATTGTACTTTTGAGTTTGTTTTCAAAGAGATCCAAGGGACTATGACTCAAACATTCAGAATGAAGGCAGATACAGTACGCGTTATTTTAAAGAATAACAATAATATCCCCCCAGCTCCAATTTCACAAAACTTAAAGTTAGACCATACAAAGCATGGAAGCAAGGGGAGGAGGTACAGAACAGGAAAATTCAAAAGAAAACATCAGATTAGACATTTAACATTAAAAACTCTAGAGTTACAGGTACGTACTTATACAATTAAGTTTTATTCTTTTCCAACGTGGATTTTCAACACTCTCTTGCTTTACTTTTCCAAATAAAGTAGAGAGACTAATAAGGTGGACTTAAGAAATTAAAATGCAAGACAAGTAATTTTACCCTCATGTGTATATGGGAAGTGGCTCACGCTTAAGTGTTATGGGGTAGTAGGGAACATCAGAGAGACAAGATTTAATTAAGAGTTGTTCAGTGGAAGAGGGTCAAGGACTTACACAAAATGGGGCATTCAGATAAGAGGAGTCAAGAGTTATAAGAGTTAAAGGTAAGAGCTGAATCCCAAACATAAGTTGAATTTGAACAAATTTATTTGTTTAATGAGAGTAAATTCACCAGTTCAAAGGCTTCTAGCAAATGAAGAGGCTGGGGACTACAGTAGCATGCTAAATACACACCTGGCTTAAAAACCCACTTAGTCCTGGAAAGCAAGTAACACTTTGCAAATACAGCTTATACTAAGTCTAAGTCTGACTTCTCCTGATACATACAAAAAATAGTATACAGTTCCTGTAACTTATTTCCTACTTTTTTCCTTATTGACATTTTCCTTAACGACAAGTGGGACAGCCTGTCCCCTCCATCAGATCAGAGAAAATAAAATATGTTCAACTAGTATGTCTTTAAGCAACAACCCTTTGTTTCAGTTAGAAACATTCTGCACTATGCCCCAGAAAAGCAGATGCAATCTCTGCCCCTTGCCCAGGGTCTCAAGAGTGGAAGAAAAGTCTCATTTCCTTTACAGCAAATTATATTGAAAACACAAAAACTAAACCCATTATAAAAAAAACTCCAAAATTAAGTCCCCAGATTTCAACTGCAAACCCACCATCACACTACCATAGTCACTTACCAGTTGTGATATATTCAGCTACTAATTCCGATTCTACTACAGCAATTGAAGGACTTTCTGGAGAATGCCTCTTTTCTTGAGTCATCTGGATTGGGACAGCCATCTGGCTCAAGTCAATGGTAGGCTGCCTTGGCTTAGATTCTAACTTTTCCTTCACGGCTTTAGAAGAAAAGAAAAACATAAAATAAACATCCAATATATAAACCTCCATAATACCATAAACTTCCAACGTAAATGCAAAAATTTAATTAAATAGATAATGAACATTATATACAGAATCAAACTGTTAGAGGCGAAGAAGGAACCAAGCTGATTCAAAGTAGGTGCTTTTCAATTATAAAACTTATTACAAACTGCTGCTTAAGCAAGTAATAAGGCTTTGGATTTATCCTAAACAACCACATGTGTTTTCACACCTGTTGTTTGCTGAAGTTCCAGCAAAGCTTTTATCGTGGAAGTAGCTGACTGAGATTCACTGGATACATCCTGATAAATTATTGTAGGGCTTGTGTCCACAGCAATTTCATGTTCTGACCAATCTTGACTTCTTGAAGCAATCACATGGACTACAGGCTGAGAATCTGTTTGCAAAAGAACAAAGGTCGTCATATAATCACTTTGGGATGGAGGTCTCTTGTCCAATTTCTTCCTTTAAAGCAGGGCTAGAGGTCAAAATTAGACCAGGTTACTCATTACCCTTTAGCATTTTGAACACTGCCAAGGATGCATACTTTCCTTCCGCAACACTTTAGTTTTTATTACAAGCAACTCTTGAAGTAAAACAGTTGATGTTATATAAAATTTTCAGCAAAGATGATCCTGTATCTTTTCTTTGTAAAAGCTTTGATTTGAACAATTTTTGCAGGTCTCTTTGTATGCTGAATTTGCCTTGGATTGAACTCTTTTTTTCAGAAGACTTTAGCAGTTCAGATGATCATGTATTCAGCATCCTGAATTAACAGCTCCTAAATTTTGTTAAGTTTCTTGAATCTTCAAAACTCGTAAAAATTTACTTGAACTGGTAGTACAGACCAACAGTTACAGAGTTACATAGAAAAGGTGACTTAAAGACACATAAGTATGTACATGTAAATCCCTAAGAGACATTTGCCCCCATTTAATGCAGTGATACACCCTATTGTTACTCCTGACCAAAGGCTGGGTCTTACTTATGTCCTGTTATTTATCCTCCTCTACCACATAAGAACAGCTGCGTCCATATCATGGCTTGAAGACATGGCAGCCTCCCCATCAGGACTGCATGTCTGGTCTACGTTCTGACACACACATGTGCCTATAAAAGGTAGCTTTCAGTCATGCAGTGGAGCTTGACAGTTTTTAGTCATGCAGTGGAGAGATGCTTCCATACACTCAGAAAAGAGGGTGGCAGAGTACAGGCTGCCAAAAAACTCCAATCTGCTACACTGCCTAGAGTCTCCCAAAATGGGGAACATGCTGAAGGCCTCAAGAACAGTAACAG